CACGCGCCTGCCCCCGTGGGGCCTCGCGTTGATCGTGGTGGCACTCTCCGTGGTCTTTTACTTCCTCTTGGAGTCGTATTTGGTCGTGTTTTTCACGGCCTTGGTGGGTTCTGTGGCCTTTGCCAACGGCCTGGACGCGATTTTGAAGACGGGGTTCAACGAGGAGCTGACCCAGGCCCTGACTTCCAAGGACCCTTCCGACGCGGAGCCCTTTCAGGGAACGGAGGACATGTTGCCCATTGTGTACGCCTTCTTTGGGTGCTTGGTCTTGGGGATGATCACGCAGGTGTGCGTCTCCCGGAAGATGCGGAGACAGGCAGACGGGGAGGAGGACAGAAAAGCGCAGCAGCGACGACGGGGGATGATGTTTGAGGAAGAGAAGGACATGGAGAGCGGGGGGGCGGTGGCACGCTTGTACTAAAGGGAGGCGGGCAGGGAAGGAAAGGGAAGGAGAGGTGCGTCGAAAGCTGGTGGAGAGCCGGGTGGGGATACCCTGTCCGCGCGCGAGGGTCAAGGGAGGAATGGACAGGAAAGCATTTCGCGGGACTGTGGGGTGCGGGACTGGCCGTGAGCCTTGCGAGGCCTCGGGGAGATGGCACGGCTTTGCTCCCCTAGGGGTATGAGTTCAAAAGACAGGAAATAGGGAAGGGCGGAAAAGGTTGAAAAGGAAGACCGTCGTCTGGGTCCTGCGGTCTATATTCGTTATCGGCGTGGATTGCGTCGTTGGTATTTCATCTCGCTGCTTACAAGTATTCTTTGATAAAGAAAACGTCCACCAACCCTCAACACCCTCTCCTTCCCCCTCCTCCTCCCCCCTCTCCTCCTCCAATCTACATCCCCTTGAAGTTGTCCTCACGCCATCCTCTGAGCAATCATCTCCTCCTCATGCACGAAAAATGCCCGAGTTCCCACCAGCCGTTCCACGATCTTTTTACTGCCACTCGTGCCCATCATGACCTACCTATGTCCCCCCCGCTGCTCCCGCCCTCCCGCCCTCCCAGTCCTGTTTCCCTGCCTCCCCCCCTCCCTCGCCCGCGGTTGGGTCCCATTGCTTGACAAACTCTGCCATCAACCCTTCCTCGCCATCTAGCCTGCTCTCGTCCGCTCCAACTAAGAGGGCCTCCAACAGAGGGTCCCAGTCTTCTTCCCGCCCGCCTCCAGCCGTGCGCCCTCCCACGGAAGGGATGGTGAAGGGCAAGGTGTCCGGGCCTTCCTTCGGCCTTTTTTGCTCCAGTGCGTCTTCTTCTGCTCCCAAGGCCGCAATTGTTTCGCTAACATTTGTCCCTCTCGCTTCCAGGGTCACCGTCCGCATGGACGGTGCCACCGCCGGAATGACGTGGGAGAAGGCGGAAGGCTCGTTCTTGAAATGGTGCTCTGGGGGGGTCACGGGGGTGGCGGCGTTCCTCGCGCCCATCGTATGAGCCGAGGGGGTGATAGTCGCGGAGTGAAGACGGGCAAGCTCCTGCTGCATGCTGGTGACGAGAGCACGAAGGCTCAGAACCTCCCTCCGGCGCGTCACAACTTCCCCCCACGCGAACGACAGATGGCGTTTAAGCTCAGTTTTAGTGTACTGACTCATCATTTTCTCGAGAGAGTCTGTTACCGCGCTTGTTTTAGTTGATGTGGGTGAGAGTTCATGTGGCACTTTGGACTTGGAGCTCACCATAGTCGTCGTGGGAGCACGGGAGGAGGAGCGAGTCCGATGTCTTGCAAGACGTTCGCTGCGGGTCATGATGATCCTGTGTCCGAATTTTCTTCTTCTTTAAGTATTATTTCGGTTCTTGCCAAGGCAGGATTCTCCTTGTTCGCAAAGTGACCCACTACAGCTTCAAGGACGGGCAGCAAAATCTACGAGGTTAACGAAAGAAAGAGTCGTGTCGAAATTGGATGGACGTGGCTTGTTTTAATTTGGCGTTTCCACACGATTAAGAGCGGGGGGGGGGAGGAGGGGAAAGGAATACATGATAAGGACTCCTCGGAGCTACTTACCTCGTAATTTTCGGTCTTGGCACCTGGTGCACTTGTTTCCATGCATAAAGCAGGCAATGTCTTACAGGAAATCCACACCCGACAATTTTACAGAACGTCTCATTGCGCCCCTCGCATGGTCCGCGTGGTTTCATTGGTCCTTTTTTTAAGTTTCCCCCTCTTGTTCCTCTGTTACGTCACCGTCTTGGCAACGGCTAGCTCGTTCACGACCTGAAGAACAACCATAACATTTAAACACGCTAGGCCAAGCAAATTCCCTTATACCCCCTCGCATTCCCGTTGGTCTGGACACACTTCATCCTTATCAATACACTGGCATTGCCACGGGGTGTCCAGCCTCGTTTTTGTTGTCATTCTCTCCGGCCGATGTCGGCGGACTCGGGGGCACTCCTGGGATTAACCCCTGCATCATGATCCTCGTCCCTCCCCCATATTACTACCACGCCCGGGCAACTCACAACTCCTATTTTGCGCATGTTCTTTCTAAGATAGTGTCAGGTGTACCCGTGCCGGGTTAGAAGTTTGGTGAGGGACGACTTGATCGTTTTTGTCCATCGCTATTTCCCGGCGCCCACACAACGTGTAACCCCCCTCACTCTTTGGGGATCGAATCATCGATGGCAACCCTTTCGAAGGAGGACTTCATGGACGAAGACCTCGACTTATCGGGTTTGGATGAAGACTTGTTCATTGGTTTGATGGGTGAAGGGGAGGGAGTGAATACTTTCATGCTAGACGACGTCAGGGAGGATGGCCTGACATGTCCGTCGGTGGTGGATGATTCGCCTTCCCCTTTCACTGCTGTCTCTGCGGCGGTAGCCACGAGTTTCAAGGCGGAATGCATGGATGACGATCAATCGAGCCATGTGCACGGGGAGAGTTCAGCAGAGGCGTTTGACCTGGGCGTATTACCGGAAAGCATCCATGCGCAGCAGCAGGATGGAATTATTCCGGAGCAAGAAAACCAATCAGGACTCAAACGAAACGCCCATCCGCGAAAACTATCAGACACTGGCTCTTTATCCTCACCGCACGCACAACAATCCCCCATTTCCGGGGCCAGCCCCTCCCACGGCGATGGCCGGAGCAAGACGAGGCATGTCGGCAAGGGAGGCCGGCCCTCGCTCCCCTCCTACCCAAAGGGGCCGCCTGCACCAAGCGGCCTTTACCCCGGAGCGACAGCCATACCCGCAGTGGTGGTAGTATAGGGAAGGGAGAGAGCGACGGTCGACGCGTCGTGAAAAGCGAATCTTTCCGATCTGGGAGGCCGCCACCTCTCTCGTGTTTTATGGGCCCCGGGGCCGATTGGGAAGGAGGGGAGCGTTCGGGAAAACTCCAAGACGCGAAAATGGACCGTCACACTCTCAAGCGCCCTGCCTTGGAAGACATCAGGAGCACGCCTTCGTCCTGCTCCTCCTCCACCTCCACCGGCAGCAGTCACAGCCGCAGTGGTGGGAATGAGGACGCGGAGCTCACCTCCGCCTTGGCGGCTCTGGAACGCCAGGGCTTGGCGCCACAGGAACTGAAGAAACAGCGACGCTTGATCAAGAACCGGATGGCGTCCCAGCAGCACCGGGAGCGGCAGAAGCAGCAGCTCGAGCACCTGCAAGCCTCCTTGGCGGCGAAGGAGGAGGAAATCATGGCCTTGCGGGTAGAGAGGGACGTGCTGCGGACAGCCAACGGCGAAATGAAGAAAGAATTGGGCAGCCTGCGTCATGCGCTCGGCGTTCCAGGACCTGAGGGGGGAGGCGGGGGGC